TTAAACGAAACTAATAAGACCCCAGAGAGAAGCAGGAGACAATTATCAAATTAATTATCTCTCAATCTTGTCATTGAGATTAGTATTTATTATAACTTCATCTCAGGTCCTCTTACAGTGAGTTTATCTTAGAGTCTTGTCGTTCCATTTAAATTATGTGCTAATATTCACTTCAACAACCTCTATAGGGTCAGTTGCTGGGTTTTGATCTCAAAAGAAATAACTGTAACTTATTAAATGTGTCATTTCTCATTTACTGTTGGAAAAGAGCCCCAGAAAAGTTATATAATCTTTACGAGGCCACTCTATTAATAAATAGGAATGTTTGTGTTTCAATAAAAACTTGAGATTCCTATTTGCTGTTGCCCTGGAGATGTTATTTGGTTCATGACTGTAATTCAGAGGACCTTTTATGGAGTGCATCTCTTCAGTTGCCCCTCTTTGGAGAGCTGAACTGTTGGGGAACTTTCTGCCGGAGTCTAAAGTGCATGGTCAGAGGTCCTATTGCCTCCTCTACCTACCATTGGGTTTAAAATGAAACTGAGGGTCACTCTCCATGCCTCGAACTACAGCCTTCCACTCATGGTCATTAGGAGGCAGTCTTCAGATCATGTCTTCACAGTAGCTCTTGTTTTATCGAGCCAGCTTTTCCCCTGTCCTTCAGTTGTATAAAACTTGCGTATTTCTGAATAGGCTGTGTGGGTGTGTGTCTTTACCCTTTTCTGTTCTTTTTAAAAATTGATGGGAAAAAGATCCTCACGTGTGGTGACATAAACCTGTCATCTCAGCACTTGGGAGACTGGGGCAGGGGTAACCCTGTTTTTTAAAAAAGTAAGTTTGTTTAGCTGCTTTTGTGTTTTCTAAGCTTGGCTCTTTAAAGTACAAAGGTGGGTGTCTGAGTTCACCTGCTACCACCTATGGAAGCTTCCTACCTCAGTGGTGGAGGACTTGATTTCATCAGGAAACAGTCATGAGCTTCAGTTAAAATGTAAAATGCTTTCCTTAACCCCAGGATAAAATAAAATTTCATTTGCTTTTACTTTTCTGTAGTAATGCCAATAAGGAGATATTGCCAGGGACACAAGGGAAGCAGTTTCGTAGCTGAACAAATTGACGGTAAATCTACTTGCCAATTCCTCAAAACACTATTAGGAGCACACATGGGCACATTCACTCTCCGCCCTCTGGCGCACTGTTCTGAGAAAGGTTGAGATGCCCTAAGATGACTGAACAACCCACTACTGAGATTCACACATTCTCAAAACCTTCATCTGTGCACCAAAGGAAAATGTTCACTTTGATTCACGCTCATCTTGATTAGCATTTACTGACTGGTGGCTCTGAGATATGACTGTGGGATTGACCCCATTCTAAGCACTTTAATCCAGGGAAATGATGTCAATATTCTCAGTATTCTCCCCATTTTTCGGAAAAGAAATCATGGCACAAAGAGAATAAAGAGATCAGAATGGCAGCCTGGCTGCAGATCCCTTTCTGTCTGCCTACATAGCATACTACTGCCTCTGGCTGCATATCCAAACAATACCATGAACCATGATGATGATAATGATGATGATGATGATGATAACTGTAGCACTGTTTATTGATCTTAGTTGTGTCCTTAAACTCTTAGGAGGTATTTTCATGACACAATCTCATTTAATCTTCATAACCTATGGATTTAGGGTGTGTGTGAGTGTGTGTGTGTGTGTGTGTGTGTGTGTGTGTGTGTGTGTGTGTGTGTGTATAGAAGCCAGAGGCCAGCCTTGGATATCATTCTTTAGGAGCTGTCTACTTGCTTTTTGAGGCAAGCTATCTCACTGGGATGCAGGGGCCACTGATTAGGCTAGGCTGGCCAGCGGGCAAGCCAGGGATCCTTAGGTCTCCATTTCTCTTGTGCCGGGATTAGAAGGTTGTACTGTCATGCCCAGATTGAATGTGTATCCTTGAGGGCAAACTCAGGTCCTTGAGCTGGCATGGCCAGCACTTTACTGCCGAGCCATCTTCGTAGTCCAGGGTTTGCTCAGATTTTATTGAGTAGTTAGGAAGACTGAGGCTCAAAGGGCTCAGGGAACTTGTTCAGACTGTATTTGGAATGAAATCCTTCACCTTACTACTTACTCTTTTTCTTCTTGCATGAGTCTCTGATCCAGGAAGAAAGAGACCTCTAATGTTCTCAGCAGTGCTGCAGTCAATGTCCATGGCTGACTACTAGTTACCAGGGGACACTGACTACCTTCTCGTCTTGCAGTGTCTGTTAAATTATTAACTCTAGTGACTACTGTCTGCCCTTTCAATTAATAGTTATGAGAGGGTGAAGTGAGAAAAGTATGAAAATGGAGGAAAATTTTCTCTGTATTTGTCATGACTAGAGGCTGGGGGGAGCAAAACAGCAGAAAAGCTCATTCTTCAACATATCCAGATGTCGCATCTGTGTCTTTACTGGGATCTAGTTTCTGGAAAACACAGATTTCAAGGCAGGCAAGTCAAATAGCAAGAGCCAGATGATGAGATTTCTGGCTGTTGTGACCAGAAGACCAAGAGTCTGAAGGAGACTCAGGCACAGAACAGAGGCTGATTGAGCAGCCATGAGTGTGGCCTGCAGCAGATGACTCCTTGAAGGATAAGGGTAGGTATGGGTAAGCTAAGTCTCTGTCAGACACTCAGAAAACCAGAGAGAATTGGTACATAACACCATCCCTGGTAGGCCTGAATGCTCATTTAGGTCTCTTAAATGTTTATAGGATGCAGAAAGAATCTCAAGGAGTGAGGACAAGGATAGACATTTGGATGACAATACCCTTGCTTGATGGTTCTATGTGGAAAGAATCTTCCCATTTGTCCATGTAACTATCAATAAATCCTGTTTCTTAAACCTAGGTTTACATACCAATGGCATTATTCTTTGACAAACTTCTAAATATAAAAAAGTTTCTAAGCATTCAAAGAGTGTTTTCTTCATATCTGTCTGGGAGACCTCTACAGAGACTTTAAGAAATGAAAAATAAACGAGTGTGGCAATTCTAGGTGGCAGGGTATATTAAGCAAGGCAAATTGTACTAATCTGGTTCCATATATTCATCTCTTTTGTATCAAATTAACACAAGACAAAGAAACACATCTCAGATGACTTTGCCCCCTTCTTATGATAGTAGATGTTCACCTTTGGGAATATGTTTACTATAAATACAAATAAACCGTTCTTATACAACTTGTAAATTAATAATAATAATAATAATAATGATAATAATAAATGATACTAAGATCAATTCTGATTCAGTGTCTACACTGCCCTGTGAGTATTCAACTTGGGATTCTTGTGGGCTGGGAGAGAGATTCCAGATATTAGAGTGACAGATGGGGACTCTGGCCCATAAGAAGTTACCACTGGCTAATCAGCCATCAAAGCATTTGAAAAGTAAGACATAGTAGTCCTTTACACTAAAACATTTCTCTGTGTGTGTGTGTGTGTCGGCATAACAATATATTTCTCTTGGATGGTGGAACAGAAAAATCAGAGGGAAATGTCTGTCTGGATAGATTCAGTTTTGATCTTCAACTCTTAAAATTTACATTTGGAGCTTGCTTTATTTCTGGGCATAGCTCTAGGAAGCTGCTTCCAGCACAGGCCTGAAGTCAGAATGAGTTATAGATATTAAACCCTACTTTTCCTCTACCCAGATACCCATAGCCCTTCAGAAATCTTAATATGCTTTTGAGAGCCTCAATTTAGAGCTAGCTGCATAAAATGATCCTTTGATGAAAAGGAATTGGAACAAGGGTTAAAGCAGACATTGAAAGGTTACTGTAGAGGGCACAGTGTTCATACAACCCTCCTTTAATATGTGTGGTGTGCACCTGTGATAAGATGATTCATTACATGGGGCCTCTCTTTGACAAGCTCCATCGTTCAGCCCTCGGGTCTCTGATGGGACAATCCTATACCCGCCCAGGAAATATAACAAGGTCAGCTTTTTCTTTTCCTGGGTTGTAGATAGAGATGGTTTAGTTTGTAATGCATCTTTGCTTATGCTTTATGTAAAATAAAAACCCCAAGAATTTAAGACATCGAGATTCCTTGTTTTGCAGAGCAGTTGTAGCAGGGAGTTATGTAAACACACTGCTAAGTAAAGAAATAATGCTCTCTCTGTAATCATAGATGGACACACTAGAAAACTGAAGTCACTAACCAGTGAGGCTGGACTCTGGCTTTCCATTGGAGGGCACCCTGACATCATCAGCTTCAACTCTGCTCTGTTGTTTTCTGCAGCTTTTAGGGTTACTGATCACTGAAGTTCTGTCATCTGTCACCTCGGTGAACATGACATAGACACATGAACCTAGTTGGAGAATGCGTACTCTCCTGTGATATGGGGAGGGCTTAGTGGACCTGACAGGATAGAGATAATCAACAGGCATGCAAGAGACCTCCTGAGTCCCTGAAAATCAGTTGAGAGTGCCAGGGGCTGAAGGGCGACTGGCATCTAATGCCCCCTTTCCTTTTGTTGCTGGAAAAGAACTTTGCATTAGCTCACCACACATACAGATCTGGGATTTACTTAGGTTAGTTTAGACATATCAGAGTAACCAGCAAAAGACATTAGTTTCCCCATTATATCAGATTTTTTTTTAAAGTGAAAAGTTAAAAAAAAAAAAGCAAAGAAAGGCTTTCTTTACAAAATTCAATTTTTGATTGTTTATTTTCAAGAATGTTCCAATAGAGAGAAAAAATTCTTTAACTCAGGTCATAACACTAGTCATCTCACAAAAACAAAAACAAAATCAAACCTTGACATTTTAGGGGGCAAGAAAGAAAAATCTTGCTTCTAAAATATAGAAACACTTCCCAACCCCTTTCCTGTTCTTGACATTGCCAGTAAACATTATTTATTTGCCTCAAATAGATGCAGCTACATATCACTGCCATGCAAAAGGAATTCATTTCCTTTCTGAGTTCAATCTGCCATAACAATTCGCTCTTGCTCCCATCTCCCACTCACCTGTCCTTGTGCATTAGTAACTAGTTGACCTGTGACCCCCTGAAGGCTGGAGAGGGCATTGCCAAAGGCCTGGGAACTCGCTATGGAGCCCATGGCTGCTGCAGCAGCGGCGGCCTGACTTGCTAGAGGATTATTAACCAGCTGCAAAGAAAGAAAAGATCAGGGTGAAAACCACCACGAGGCAGAGTAAACCACACAGCGACACAACACTCCCTCCAGCTTGCTCATGCAAAGAACCCCAAACCCATTGCAGGGTCCCAGTAAGCTGATTCCTTGACTGATTATAGGAGGCCAGGGACAAGACAGGGGCTGGACTTTGTCCACCAGTGCTGGCTATGCAGTGTAGTCTCAGCTGAGGGACAGCCTAGGAGAGAGTTAGCCTGAATCTGGGGGCAGATCACAGGATAAAATTCCAAGGAAATGTCAGCCTTCCGTGAAATCATCATGAGAGTGAAGCAGGGTGGGTGGAGGAAATAAATGGATGTCCACAGGATTTGTGTGTGGATTTATCGTTTCCATGTAGGAATCACAGTTTCTTCAGGGGTCATTTGGGTGAGGCACGTTTCCCACCTGAGAAGCAACCGAAATCAGCGAAAGCCCAGCTTCTGCGATCTCAGAGAGCTGGGACACTTGGGGCTCATGTTGAGGAGAGATTCAAAGTCACCGGTGAATGGTCAGGCTGACATTTGCTTCCTGCTTTACCTAATGTGTGGCCTCTTTCCTGGGACAAAGGTTTAGCAGGAAAGAATAAACGGAAGTGGGAGAGAGACCAGACAGGGAGGCGGTTATGGCTGCCAAGTTCTGTTTTTCCATGGAGACCAATTCAATATTCTTTATCCTGCCAATTTTCCACACCACAGGTTTTCAGGCCTTCTGACCATGAGGCAGAAGGGTGGCATGAACTAAAATCTGCATTTAGGTTAATGACTAGATATAAATTCAAGAAACATTTAAACTATTTTCACAGTATTGGTTTTGATACATGAATTTCATTTGTATTTATTCTAGGGTGTTATTTTTTTCCTCCATATAGTTTCTCTCAAGTACAACAATTGTGTATAATAATGCATTTTCTATCACCCGTTTCCACATCCATGAAACTCCTGCATTTTAGCAGAGACCTGCCAAGGCTAAGACCTGGTGGAAAAGAATTAAAACCATACTGAGTTCAAGTCTTGGCTCTTCTAGAGCTCCTCTCTTATTATTGTTATTTTTAAACTTTCTTTTTAGTTTTTAAACATTCTTTATTCTTCTCTGCTATCTCTGTTTTTCTCTTTTCTTTCTTTTCCTCTCAAAAGGTATTCTGTGCCTTAATTATTTTGGAAATTTGCCCAGAGTTTTATATCATCTGTTGAGGAAGGAAATAATAATCAGAGAAAATGAAAAAAAGGGGGGAATTTGACAACTTTTTGCTAATGTATATCTTTATCCTTATTATTTACTTATAACCAAGTCTCATTGACCCAACACATCGTATTAGAAAGAAAAATCCACTTTAATCTCATTACTTTATGTCTTTTGTTTTTTTCTTTCTCCTATGGGGGGAAAACACAACTTTTTTTAAGGAGAAAAAAATTCTTTTTTTGGCCTAGTGAGAACCCCTGTCACATCCAAGATTACCACCATGCGATATAACATTCAGGATATCCTTGATCTTGGTATTTTGAGTATGTCTATGAGTGACTATGGCTGAGGAATAGGAGGGGTTAAGAGAAAATGCTCCTTGTTGTAGTTTGAATGCCCACAATGAATGGTCCATTCTGTGGTCTTGGCAAAGAGCACCTGTAGCACCCGGCACAGACAGTGCACACTGGCCTTCCATTCTGAGCTCCTCTGAGAAGGTTCTGCTTGCATTGTTTTTATACATGAAGCTGAAATCATAACAAAATTCCTGGAATCACAAAGTAAACTTTGTGACTCCCAAAGAATGATGAATTTATGTGAAGTTTGGTCTTAATTTTGAAAAGACAATTTTGTCAGTTGCCTACAATTGTGGATGAAATGTTTAAGTTTGTACACAGAAAATACTGTCTTTAGAAGACAGGCAGTTATCCCTATTTAACGAAGAGCACATAATTTTCATAATTGTAAAGCACTTCTTTGATATCTTCTAGGTCAAGCAAGATATCATCTAGGAAATGATGGACTGATGAGTGTAGCACGATAATGGAGACTGAGAATTCCCTGTATCCAAGACACCAGTGTATTGTTCACCAACAGTCCTTCGTATTTGCTGTGGAATCTGATGCTTCACAAAGAACTCATTTTGAATATAAAGCAAACCAGTTACTTATAAAGACTCTGAGTCTGTGTGTTTAAGGGTTACAAATGGGTAACGGGTGTTTTAGAAGACTGCTCAACCACCACAAAGGTATGTTTTGTTTACTGACATTGTTTATTTTCTCTGTATTCTGGTCCTATGATTTCACTGCCCTTAATGATGTGTGTGTGTGTGTGTGTGTGTGTGTGTGTGTGTGTGTGTGTGTGTCTGTGTCTGTGTGTGAACACATGTGGGTGTGGGTGCTTATATGCATTGTCTTTTCGTCTTAGAGTGGAAAATGCTGACTTGGATGATTTTTTTTTTTTTTTGTTATTACTCGGTTTTGCAAAACCAACCCAGGGCCTTATATATTCTAGACAAATACTTTCTCACTGAGCTAGAAACCTCTAGCCATGGATGACTTTCTTTTTCCTGTCCAGCTATCTTCTTACTTCACATTTGTGACTGATGTCTGGCTCTAGGAAGAAGTCTGGCTGGCTATGCTCTGGAGCCAGAACACTGACACCAAGGTGGCCCTGTAGTACAAGTCAGTGTAAGAGTGACTTGGAGAGTGTTCATGGTGTATACAGCTGCACGAATACTTCTTGGCTCTTCTGTCTGTGACTTCCTGGGCAGGGCTGCACTGCTATTAAGATAAGTGGCAGGGGAGGGGGGAACGGCCATCACCCCAGGCCATGTCACTCTGTGTTGTCTACAGTCATGTCACATTAGCAGTGTTCCTATCACTATTTCTTCTAGATTGGAGACTCAGGGTAGATTTGGACAGCTGTGAGCTCATGCACAATAAATGCATATAATGAGCATGGTGACGTTCTAGGGCCATCTGGGCACTTTGAAGTGGCCGCCAAGCTTATGCCTTCATATCTTTCATTGCCATGTACCTACCAGGGAAAAGGCAGCCTGGAAAAAGTCTGACTGTATTACATGGTGTGTTTTCAACAGATCAGTTCAGGCCATGCTGATTCTAGTGTGTTCTTGTTATAAGTACAGGAGGGTTCAGAGCAAGGATTTTCAGCGAGTGAGAATTTTCACATTACATCCTGAGTACCTCAAGCTGTGGCTGTGGGATCCACGGCTGAATCCACTCACTGAAATGCTTGTTTCCTAAGACACTTCCCCTCCTAAGGTTTTATAAAATAAATTAACAAAATAGCTGTCGATAGAGCTGTGTACCACTGAAGTAGGACACCAGACCTCACCTTTCCCCTGTCCAGCCAGAGGAGAGAGTCGGGCTACAAAACCAGATGCCTCAGTAGATGTAAGAGATTCAAACTCTGGTTGCTTTTGTTTGTTTGTTTTCCTGGATAAAATGGGTGGGAAAATGATAGAACTCATAAGAGTATAACGAGAATGAAAAGAGAATATGCAGGTAAGAGCTTTAGATATGCAACTGTAGCTGACACAATTGTCCCACTTTTGTGAACATGTTCCTTTAGGTCTTTCTGCTTGTTTGCTTCTTATCTTTTTTCTTAAGCAGAGTCTTCCTCTGTAACCCAGGATGGCCTCCACCTTGAGATAACCCTGCCTCAGCCTCCCCAGCGCTGTGGTTCTAGCACGTGTCACCGTGTCTGGCCCTGTTCTTTTTAAAAGGCAGCTTAGGGAAGCTACTAGCTAACTGGCATGGTAACGAGATGGGGTGAGTTCTGTAATTTTAAAAAGGAAAGAGTAGAAGGCATGTAAAATGAAAAAATCTGTTTAGATGTGCATCACTAGAAGGATACAAAACAAAAAAGGATTTGGGACAGTTGCCCCCGATTTGCCTCACATCTCTCCTGCCAGACAGGACCTGCGCCTCTGTAGAGACAGCAGCGCTCTGATTCTGGAGGCAGGATTGATAGGTGACCAAGAAGTCAGAGAAAACATGACTTTCTTTATAGTGCATTATACTCAGACTTAGTTTATAACATTTTAAAAACTCCCTTAAAGCATTCACTTTGCAATTTAATTCCTGGTTCATGTCAAAACATTGTGAAGTAGTTTATCTTACAGTTGCTTATTAGATAGTGAAGGCATGCAATGAAAAGATTAGAGAGAAATAACACTCGCTGTTTACAATGATCTCCCTCCCTCTCCCCCCTCTCTCCCCCTCTCTCCCTCTCCCCCCCTCTTGTTTCATGTAACCCAGAATGGACTCAAATGTTCTGTGTATCCAAGGGTCACCTTGAACTCCTGATCCTCCTTGTCTGTGCCTATATTTATTTTTTTCTGTGTTCACACATCTGTGTGGTTATTGGGTGATGATCTGAGGAAAATAAATCTGTATTTCCATATCTATATGTATTGTGCATCTCTTTACTGTCCATGGATATTAGATTATGTAGAAAAAATTAATAAAGTCTTCTAAAGAGCAGCCTTCAGAGGCATCGTGTACATCATCTACAGATGTCATCATCACAGATTTTGCCACAGGACAGAGACCGCTTTTCTCTGTTTTTCTGAGAGATTGCTATCCTGCATCTTGTTAAAAGACTCATGTTTCTTGAAGTTGGATTTAAGCAGTTATAATATTTTTAAAGAAACTGTGCTGATTAAATTACAATAGTCAAATTCATTTATGTAAATAAGACAGCACAATGAGGCAGTTTAGCTATGACATGGTATCCAGTGTTTTTGCCTATATCCCAAGGGGATTTTCTGGATTCTTAAGTTCAAAACCTTCCTGGAGCATAATTGCCCATGATCTAGGGATTCTCCCTTATGAGCCATGTGGATTTAACTGTATGTGGGTTTAGGAACAGTTCTTTTTGCTACTAACTTTTCAGTTTAGAGTCTGGATGTGTGGTCCCATTTCATTTTAAATGAGGACACTGAGGAGTGTATTTATCACAAATGACTCCTCATTTAAGGTCCAGATGACTCT